TAATGGCGATCTCTAAAATATTACATAATTGCCCGAAAAGTGACATTTTTTGAAACCCTGGTATTTCACGTGATTTCCATGGACGTCGAAAATTTTGAAAACCTGATTCAATCATCCTATACTTTTGTGTATATTATGCAAAAAATTTGAATGAAATATCTCTTCTAGTTAACGAGTTATTAGCTTTTTAAAATAAGACATACTTTCCGCCCACCCTGTAATAAGGCTTTTAAAGTGTGTATAATAACCTCTCTTACGTACAGTAAGAGAGTTAAGTGACAAAAAGCCCCGAGAGTTGGGAATCACAGCTTATTTACAGACTAAAGAGAAGTAGGAGTTGTATAACATTCCTGAAGGCTAAGTACTAACCAATTATAGGGTCGTTGTGTAACATACATGCAGTTAAGACTGGTTAAAACTAACATACAGGTAAACATAAGTATAGTATACAATGCAGTACATACTGCAATATTTATTAAATGGGTTTAACATTAATATTGTTTTAATATAGAATATTGTAATATATGTAATATTTATTAAATGGGTGTAACATTAATATTGTTTTAATATAGAATATTGTAATATATGTAATATTTATTAAATGGGTGTAACATTAATATTGTTTTAATATAGAATATTGTAGTATATGTTATATTTATTAAAATAATGATATTAATATGAAAATATTTTCATTAAATATGATTAAATAATATTAATTTTATTTGGAAATGCAATAACAATCAACAAATATATGTAGTATCTAATAAACATAATAAACATTTAAAACTACTGTTCACAAAATTCTATTCAGAAATTTGTTATTTAAACACAACATTTTGAGCATTAAAGTCGTTTTAACTTCTGATAATTCTATTATTATATATTAAAAATACAGCATTAAATGAACGTGTAATTTAAAATACAAATTATTTATGCAGTTGTCAATTTGCATATTTTAGTACACTCGTTTGAAATAGGTTTCACCATGGATATTTTTCTAAAAAAGAATGCTAATTTTGAGTGCAATGGCCAAATATCATATGCAACTAACCCGGTTCAGTTCGGCTACGATTTTGTACCCAAAGGCAATTTCACTTTTATGTGGTCTGCAAATGTAAATTAATTATACTTGTTTTATTATAAATAAATATCTAACCCAAAATTTTATCATGATTAAATAATTACAATTATTTATACAGGCCGATTACGTAAACAATAGAATCATCTGTTTCCCATTGTATGCGCTACTCAAAAGTTTGGTAAAATGGACTCAGCATGGGTAATTTAATAAATATTCTGTCATTTTAACAATGTTAACGTATAGGTAATTTTAATTGTTTCAAAATTAATAGCCAGTCATTTTCTCAATAGAGCTATACCTGTGCTAATGGAGAGTAATCATTCCGCAAAGACATCTAATAACTATAGTCACACTGTGCCTCAAATTGACTATATTTACAATAATGTATGTAGATAATTTAAATATATAAAGTAATTTAATTATAATTTAAAATAGCTGTAACTATTACTAGAGGGAAATGTTGAGCACAGTAATGTTATAAGATTTTAACAATCTTTTTACCTTAATTTTAATAATTACAAACCAGGAGTTGGATATTAATCTCGATAAACTGCTTATTAATGACCATATGCTAACATTTACGGATTTTGCGGTCCCGAGTGTTGAGCCCTTGTTAGTAATTTTGGGGGCAAATTATCCAAACACACAAAAGAATTCTTTTAATGGTGTGTTCAAAATATTTGATAATTACGTAAGTATTGTAATATAATTAGTAATATTAGAATTAATTGTAATAATTCTAGTAATATTTTCAAAATTATATTTTTATTAGTTCTGGACATTATTACCAATAACATATTTGTTATGCACATTGCTATTATCACTGCTAAGTGTTAGCCATTTGTTATATAAAAGGTTTAATAAAACAGATCTAACTATTCTTAATAGAAAGTATTTCTATATGAACGAATTAAATGTATCTTTAAATTATCATTATTTTTCTACCATTGCTGTTTTATTATTGCAATGTAAGTACATAACATTGAGAATGCACTTTGTTATATTAGTCAAGTTATTTATCAATTTAATGTTATTTAGCATTTGTAACAAAATGCCAAACAAATTCGTACCTGGTATTGGTGGGCAGTTTATTTATTAGCGGTTTTTTCATTTCAACACTTTTTAATCAAGAGATTTTATCAATTACTATAACAAATCCATACACTGTTATCGACTCTATTCAAGACTTACAGTCCAGACCACAGCTACAGACAAAGCTCTATATGTCAAATACTTCGCTACAAGAGATTCTGGTAATATTTAACACCATTTGTATAATAGATTATTAAGTATAATGATGAATTACACTCTATTAAATCTACCCTATTTCAAAGGAAAACTCGCACCCTGATGAGAGTTGGGCTTTGAATAAAGCGCTGTCCAACGGGTGGGACAAGAATTACATCGATGCGAGTTATACTGACTTTTATGGCGACATAAACATAATTATCAACGATATGTGTAACAAACAATTATATGTATTAATAGGCGACTATAATACAATCACTCAGTTTGTTCAATTAGACCGGGTATATTACGAACAAGTAAGTCACATGAGTAAAACCACTTATTACAATCACGCCTATGGCTATGTGCTTAATAAAAATGTTAAGCCAATTATCAAGCAAGTTTTTCAACAATTGTAAGTCTAATTTAAATCAAATTTGTTCTTAAATATTCTTAATAATTTTTTTAATGTTTCCTAATTTACATAGTTTTAATAGTTGAAAATATTTAATATTGATATTTAATTAATTATGTAATTAGGGTTAGAATCTTTCATGAATGTGGACTAATTGACCGAATGGCTGAGTCTGGTTTACGTATGGCTTATGATCTCATTGTAACTGAAAGGGAGTATATAACTTTAAAACAAGATGCTGATTTTATGGTGCTAGATGAAATGCGTATAATGGTTGGCCCATATGTATTGGGTATTACTCTAGCCCTAGTTGTTTTTACGATTGAAAATTACTCGCATCGTAATCAAGGCACCAATAACCGACTAAATCACTCATGGACAAAAGTTACCATTAAGAGCTATAAATTGTCAAGGAAATATTGATACACATTATAGAATAAATTGAAAATTTTTATTATAAATTATAATAATTAGTAATTAATTACATGAATAATTAAATATTGTTTTTAACACGAGAGATTAATCTAGTTTAATATGGCATGTAAATAAGTTGTAATAAATATAAATGTATAAACTTAACAAATACTTTATTAATTTGCTATTTAATAAGAAGTTATGGTATTTAAATGTTATAAAATAAATTATCTATTTTTAAAAATTATTTTTACTTTCAATTTAATAGTTTGGCATGATTATTTTTGTAACTTGATTTCTGTGTTAATGAGCATCTTTGTTTATTGTTAAAAATACACAATAATAATAAATAACATAGAATTCTTATATGAATTATAATACAATGTGTTTTTCTAGGTATCGGTGACATATTTAGACATGCTATTTTATTATAATAATTTAATTTATATAAAATAAATATATTGATATTTCACATACACTTAATATATCTGATAGTAATTGTTATTAAATTAATTAATTTGAATTATATTAATATATTATATACAAATGTTGCATAGAAGAATTTAATATATACAGTAAACAATTGAATTAATTGCACATTCAACAAAATGAATATATTAATTTAATAATAGAAATATTTGAAATACATGTAAATAATCTACAAACATACAGCTGTATAGCAACAGAAATTAACTTGTTTATAAAAATTAATTTATTAATATACCATGGACGGTTTATTCAAAAAGACAGTCAATTTTGAGTGCGATAGTAAAATGTCGTACGAAACTGGCCCGGTTCAATTTGGCTACGATTTTGTGTCAAATGGTAATTTTACTTTTACATGGGCTGCCAATGTATGTATCGTTACTGTATATACTGTGCAGTATAATTACTTTAACTAATCATCATTAAATATCGTGCACAAAATTTATTATGATTCTTATGTCTGCAATAATAATTATTAATTGTTTGTTAATACAGACCGATGAAGTTAGTACTAAAGTATTTTGTAGCCCTCTATATGCTATGATTAAAAGTCTTGTCAAATGGACACAGCATGGGTAATTGTAATAATTAACTAAACATTATATAATAATACATAATTTAGTATTTTTGAACACGATTACAAAACTTTTGTACATCTAAATAGGGCCGTACCGGTACTTATCGAGACAAATCGTTTCGCAGATGCAATAAATAACCATTCACGTTTTGTGCCACCAATACGTTATATGAAAAACAATGTAAAAGATTTAATAATGATTTTAAAAATATTATTTTGTTAATTAAGTTAATAGTTATAATTGTGGGAAAGGGTTACTATAAAAAGTATTTTACCCGTGTTTTCCAACACCCAATAGGAACTAGATATCAGTATTGATAGGCTTATTATCAACGATCAAATTCAGTCGTTTGCCGACTTCGCGGCCCCCAGTGTTGAACCCCTGTTAGTGATGTTGGGGGCGAAGTATCCAAACACACAGACAAATCCGTTTAATGGTGTGCTCGAGATATTTGACAACTATGTATGTATTTATTTCGTGTTTTTTCGTAATTTGCTGTAAAAATATATTAAATTTGTTTATAGTTTTGGTCACTACTCGTCCTAACAGTTGTTTTATTTACACTTTTATTATCCATTATTAGCATATTTCCAGAATATGAAATAAACATGTATAATTGCAATTATTTAAATAACACAACTACTAAAACTATATTAATTAATCAATTGTTTGTTACACTTAATTCTTTAATAATGCAACGTAAGTAACTAAAAAGGAAAATATTTAAATAGCAAATTGCTTAGCCCATTCTGATTGGTATAAACATGTTCAGTACGGTCCATAGATTTATTTACCGTTGAGAAAATTTGCCAATGGCCAGAAATGACCGAATTAGGGACAAAATTCGAAATAATTACATAGCATTTAATGCATAGACTTTTGGTGAATGGCCCTGTGCTATGTGTGAATCACCACTCATTACAACTTTTTAATGCTTTTAACATTCAATTAAATGCTATGTAATTGTTTCGAATTTTGTCCATAATTCGGTTATTTCTGGCCATTGGCAGATTTTCTAAACGGTAAATAAATCTATGGACCATACTGAACATGTACATACCAATCAGAATGGGCTAAGCAATTTGCTAATTAAATATTTTCCTTTTAAGTTAGCCTATTATTTATGATGTTGACTGTTTAATTAAAATATTATTTACAGCGTTTAAATTAAAGTATTATACAAATCCATACGTGGTATTAGTGGGCAGTCTATTAGTCGCCAAAGTCATAATTACAACACATTTCAATCAAATGATTTTATCGATTACTATAACAAATCCATACACTGTTATTGACTCTCTCCAAGATTTACAGTCTAATCCACGGCTACAGACAAAGCTCTATATGCCTAACGTTACATTACAAGACATTCTGGTAAAATTAATATTTATAAATAATTGCATAAGTTAATAAATCTTACCTTAATGCACAGGAAAATGCCCACCCTGATGAACGCTGGGCATTAAATAAAGCGCTGGCCAACGGGTGGGACAACAACTATATCGACATGAGTTATACTGAATTTTATGGCAAAATAGAAACATTTATTGACGATATGTGTAACAAAAGGAAGTATGTTTTAATTGGTGGTTACAAAACAATTACCAAGATCATTCAGATGAACCCGGTGTATTTTGGTCAAATAACACATATTGGTAAAACTTCTTATTACGATCACACCATTGGATTTGTGTTTAATAAAAACGCTAAACCAATCATCAAGCAAGTTTTTAAAAAGTTGTAAGTTGCGCCTATTTGTACAATGTTACATGTTAATAATTAAATAACAATTATTGTTATAGTTAAAATTTATAAATATTAATTTTTAATTGTAATTGTGTATTTAGGGTTAGGATCTTTAATGAATGTGGGTTATTTGAAAGAATGGCCGACACTGGCCTACGTATGGCTTATAACCTGTTTGTGCCCGAAAAAGTGTATCTTGTATTGAAACAGGATGATGATTTTATGGTGCTAGATGAAATGCGTATAGTGTTTGGTCCGTATTTAGTGAGCATTATTTTGTCCATGATTGTTTTTGGCATTGAAAACTATTTGTATTGTAAGAAACGTAGTTTTTTTTATCCATGTTTAAAGCTAATCATGTGATTATTAATCAGCCAAAACTGTCTTGGACAAATGTCAAAGTTATAAATTATAAATTATTCTGACTGTATAATATGTAAATAATTTAGGTTTATTTATATATTAATTTTTGAAATTTCATTATAAAATTTATTTCAAACTATTTTAAACTAGATGGGATCTAGTATAGTAAACATAATAATTAATATAACTTTACATATATATTAAAATGTATATGTAATTAAGATAATAATTGACATAATTGCCATAATAATTAGTAAATAATTTGACTACAAAAAAATCGTTAAAAATTAATTGGCTAGAAATATTTATTAAATAGTAATTATTTTATGTAAAAATATTGATCTTTTAAACATTAAAATTAAAGCGTTATATGAATTTCTAATTTCAATAACAAATTATTTATTAAATGTACAAGTTGCATACTTTACTGAACACTTTCTAAATAAATGTTGCCATGGACATTTTTTTCTTGCCAAAAACATCTGCCAATTTTGAATGTGATGGTAAAATATCATATAAAAATGATTCCATTCAATTTGGTTACGATTTTGCACCGAAGGGTAATTTTACCTTCACCTGGTCTGGAAATGTAAATTTACAATGATTGCTTTATTCCATTTATTATTGTTGTTGAAATAAATAATTTCATGTTATATCAGAATTTGACAATAATTATATAATTCACAATTTATGCAGGCTGACCATGCAACTACTAAATTCCTTTGCAGCCCTTCGTATGCGTTACTTAAAAGTTTGGTAAAATGGTCCCAGCATGGGTAATTTTAATATTTAATTTATTGTTTTAACAATGATGACTTAAAATTAATTTGTATTGTTATTTAAAATAACATGGTAACTACCTTTTATTTGGATAGAGCCATACCTGTGCTAATGGAGCATGATCACTTTGTGGAGACATCAAATAATGATCTGCAAATTGGCTATATTTACCATAATGTAAAGTATACTTTAAATCGTTAATCAAAATCAAAATTTATAATAGCTTAAAAGTTTAATGTATTATATAACATTGAAAGTTTAATTTAAATATTAATGGTATTTTGACCATATTCTTGACAAAGATTTTAATCATGTTCTAGGAGTTGGATTTCAATATCGATAAACTTCATATCAATGACCAGATGCTAACATTTTCAGATTTTGCGGCCCCTACTGTTGAGCCTTTATTGACTATGTTGGGGGCGAAGTATCCAAATACACAGACAAATCCGTTTAATGGTGTATTTGCCATATTTGATAGTAATGTAAGTATTTATTTAGTAATACAGTATAAAAATAATTATATAGTATTAATATTTTAGGAATTACTATATTTATTATTAAATTTTTAAATAGTTCTGGACACTATTGCCAATAACGATGTTGATACACACCTTGTTATTATCACTATTAAATTTTAGCAAATTATTTAATGACAAGTTTAATAAACCAAATTCAACTGTTCCTAATAGAAAATATTTCAATATTAATGAATTAAAAGTATCTTTAGACTATCATTATTTTTCTACCATCGCAGTTTTATTATTTCAATGTGAGTATACTATTTGTTTATAATAATATTATTAACATTAAATGTTACATGTTAAATGTAACATTAATGTTAATAAATTTTAGTAATGCACTTTGTTATCGTATACAATTTACGAATATTTATTAATTTAATGTTATTTAGCATTTGTAATAAAATGCCGGTCAAATTCGTACATGGTACTAGTGGGCAGTTTATTTATTAGCGGTTTTTTAATTTCAACGCTTTTTAATCAAATGATTTTAACCATTACTATAACAAATCCATACACTGTTATCGACTCTATCCATGACTTACAGTCCAGACCACAACTACAGCCTAAGCTCTATATGTCAAACACTACACTACAAGAGATTCTGGTAATATTTAACATGATATATAACTTATGATATATAAACTAAAATTAACTATGAAATACAATTTAAATTAATAAATTATCTTGGTACTCAGAAAAAATCTCACCCTGATGAAAATTTTGTCCTGAATAAAGCTTTGGCCAACGGATGGGACAGCAATTACATCGATTGGAGTAATACTGACTTTTATGGCGATATAAACACAATCATCGCAAATATTTGTTACAAACGGTTACACGTATTACTAGGTGGCTATCATAAAATTACTACCATTCTCCAAATGAACCGGGTATATTACGAACAGGTAACTCACATTGGCAAAACCACTTATTACGATCACGCCTATGGCTATGTGTTTAATAAAAATGTCAACCCAGTAATCAAGCAAGTTTTTCAAAAATTGTAGGTTTAATTCTAATAAAATTTATATTTAAATGTACTTGATAGATTTTAAATTCTATAATATTGCTTTCGTTAGTTATTATAGTTGAAAATAATTAATATTGATTTTTAAATAATTGTGTAATTACTAATTAGGGTTAGAATTTTTAATGAATGTGGACTACACAACCAAATGGCTGAGTCTGGTATACGTATTGCTTACGACCTTCTTGTAACCGAAAAGGAGTATGTAACTTTAAAACAGGATGATGATTTTATGGTACTAGATGAAATGCGTATAGTGTTTGGCCCATGTGTAATGGGTATTATTTTGTCCATGATTGTTTGTGCGATTGAAAGCTTCTTGTATCGTAAGAAACATAAAGTTATTTTATTAAGATTTAAAACTAATCATGTGATTATAAATTAACCAAAACTTTCTTGGACATTAAAGTTAATAGTTATAATATATTGTAAATGCACTAACTAGTAACACAAATTATATTATATTTAAATGATTTGTTTTATTTATATATTAATGTAAACAAAGACGTATTGTTTTATAATTTCAATTATTTTAGTGATATAATTAACAGCAAATATATTGTATAGTAAAATGTTGATGATATTTTTTGTATTTTGTTATTTAATAATTATTTTAATACTAATTTTTTGGTATACTTTTAAACGTTATTAATACATTAGTCAATGAAGTTTTATCATTTACCATATTTTCCGGCAATTAAAATTCTAATTTATAAATCGTAAAATAACTGTTATAAAATTGTTATAAAAGTTTTATGTTATGTATTTGTTATAACTATTTTTATTTATGGTGTATATAACAAAACATTGCAAAGAATGTTGGTAAAAACTCATAAAGATTTTAATATTATTTTTTTGTTATTATATTTATTTATTATTAATCAATAAAATATAATTAATTAAATAAATATAGAGCTTATTTGACAACAAATATAATGTTTTCATATAATAAGAAATATATTAAATAATTATTCGTAATAAAATCTTATTAGTTGTAAAGTCTTTTCATAAGAAAATACAATTTAAATTAATATAAAAATGTTTCCCAAAATATGCATAAAGTTTTTAATACTAAAAACCCTGTGTTTGTGTGGATTTCTATACCAAACCTATAAAATCAGTTTAATATACTTTTCATACGAAACCACAACAACCATACGGTTTGAATCGCCGGCACTGTTTAGCCCACCGGCGCTCACAATATGCACGTTATCTATGGCTGACAAACAACCTGAGCGTCACAATCAGACCCGCAATCAAACAAATCCGGATTTAAATTATCATAATTTAATAAATCTAACAATTGTTAAACAGTTGGCAACACTAATACCCAACGATAAGTGGATATTATGCCATACCGTCAAATCCCGGACCACTCACGAGACGTGCGATTTCGTCACACAATATCGTACGGCAATCTCTGTCGAACCGCGAGCCCAGTGTATTACCGTGTATTCCCAGTGGTCGACCGAGTCTAGCGATCAGTACGCCATTAACGCGAGTCGCGCGGATATGCCGTACTATATGAATGTCCAAGTGTTAAATATGTCGGTAATAAATAACCACTTTTTCGCGATTTACATACACTGGCGAACGGATCGCATACGCAATCTGTTTGGCAAATCGATGACACTCTTAGACGTACGCAATGTTAGTCTCTATGAAATACGGTTTAGAAAAACGGACATAAAATTTTACAATAGGTTTAAGGGTAGAAAATGTTTTGTAATGCAAACCCGAGACGAGTGTGTGTTTAAGTGTAAGTTCAGGGAATATTACCGGCAATTATCGGTCATACCGTCGATTGGGCTCATATATAATGACGACTATATTGCTAATAAAAGTTTGCATTTGACCACTAAATACAACACTAGTATTGATAATTATTGCGAAAGTGAATGCAGTGATCGCCTGGAGTGCACTCAACACTACTATTCGGTAGACTATACTAAACACGGATTGATTACCGATTTGTTTCAGATTATACTACGCCTGCCGTCAGAACCGGAAACAGTATACGAGATATCATTGAAAATGGCATTTGAAGAATACCTGGTATTCATGGGATCACTATTGAGCCTATGGTTTGGTCTTTCTGTGCTAGTATTTAGTAACTTTTTGTTGAGTATTGCAATGAATTATTTTAATTGCAATTCAACTAAATCCAATATTATTGTACATAATAAACAAAATATATTTAGCTTGACAAATGTTAACAAACAAAATGCTATACTAAATAGAAAGTCTGTTAGAAGGGTCAATGTCAATACTTTTAATTATTTAAAACGTTAATTAATTTTATTTTAAAATTTTTAAGATTTAATATTTAATTGAGTGATAATCAAGTTCATCACAACAGGAATTAAAATATATTTATTACATGTGAATTAAAATACAGTAAATATTGAGTAAATACAGTAAATATTAAATGACAGATTATTCTATTTATTTAATCAATAAACGTTTTTATATTAAATCCATGTATAATTAATTGTATATAATTACAAATATTTAGGAAATTGCTTTTAATTAATGTTTCCTATATGTCATAATGTAAAGGCAAATTTTAATTTATGAATGGTCCATATAAATAATTAAATAATAAACATGTAAATATTTAATATTTTATTACTTTTAATGGTTTTATAATTTTGAATTCTTATTAACAAATAATATTTGTTTAGTAAACGTTGTGTAAATTCTATGCGCATTTCAAGTCGTGCCAAACCGTCGGGTATTTCTGGCGAATCCATTGATTACGACTATCGGCGCAATCGATACTCTCGTCAAACACTGTATTCATTGTGTTTTCACTCAAAAACACATTGAATTCATTGTAATCCAAATATTTCATTAAATTATTTCCCAACTCTATAGCCGTCTCGCATCCGATCGACTCAAACGCCCGGCTATTAAACGTGTCGTTTAGTAGAGATCCAAAATAAATTTCCAAACTCTGATCAGTGGTGTTGTGGCCGACAGTGAAGGCGTGTTGGGCCACTCGTGCTATTGTACTCTCACGGTCAAAGTGCACCGACATCAACATGGGCAAATCATTGAACGCGTTCGCTAATATGGATCTTAATGGATTGGCGCCAATACCTATTGCTAGCAATCTCATTAACCCCGATAGACTAAACGACGGCAGCGATTGTACGCCTGTTGAGTATAGCGTTAGGTATTTTAATGCCCTTAACGTAGAAATAGCGCCGAATAAGTGCGAGTTGTTTGTGGCCGACTCAGTGATCGGGGTATTGCTAATAGAAAGTTCAGTTACTGTTAAGTTTGTTCCGTTAAATGCGGCGACATTTATGTGTTTCAAGTGATTGGCATTATTGATGACAATTGTGTTGAATTGAATGCCTCCGAACGCATTGGCCGGCAGTTTCTCTATAGCCGTGTTATATAAATAGAATCCGTCAAATGATTTCTTATCTGCGGGTAGTTTACGGCTCAGGTCAGTAAATACGGCCTTTATATCAAAGCTCTCGTATCCGTCGCAGTGAATGTTGCAATATGTTTGATAAACTTTGTATATGCATGGTGCTTGAATGGGCACATCTATGGGACATTCGCCAACCACGTTGCTAATTAACCAAATTAGCACCAATGATAATGCTATGTAATAATTACTCTTTAAATATTGTTTATATGAATTGTAAGTAACCATACTCTTATTATGCATTATTAATAATAATAATAATTTATTATAAATGTACAAATATTATATAAACAGTTCAAATTTATTTTATTATATAACTTGCAATCTAAATTATGTTAGTAACTTTTGTATAATAGATTTTCTTACATTTATACTTAAAGCCGATTGATTTTTCAACTATTTCTATTAGAAACTCACGAATGTATTAAAGATTGTTTTTGAACTTAAAATATTTATACATAATTCACTTTTGTTATCACAATTTAGCAAAAAAATGCTGATTTGTAATATTCCTGTAGTTTTTTAACAATGGATTAGTACAGCATTAATATGTTGTCAAGTAATTTAATTATATATTATCATATCTTATGTTTTAAAATAGTTATATGTAAATAACCATATAAGCAAAATAACTTAATGTTATGTTAATTCTAATCTTACAAATGTTATTTGTTAGTTTCAAATGTTAAAGTAAGAGATTTTTGCAATTAATCCAACATTTTTAACATTGTACGAATAGTGCATTAAAATCGAGCGCATTATCATTGGATTTAAATGGTATTTGTAGCTATAATACTAAATCTAAATTAATGAATAAGGTACCAAATTAACAAGCGAAAAATAAGCTTTAAAATGATATAAATTTATATCATGATATATTCAATAATTTAATTCGCAATTAAAATTTGTAATTATAGTTAAGGAAAATATAATCATGAAAATTATTTGTTCAAGGTCTATTTTCATTAATTATTAATTAATCTTATTATATTAAACCTGACGAGGATGACCAAATTAAACACAAATGATTGTATGACAATTACCAATCAAATTAAAAAAATTAAAATATGATTTAAATTAATTTAAAACAGTTAAAAATGGCTAACTCCAATTGCTTAAACAAATCAAAAGTGGGTGTTTAATGAGAATTTAACATTGGAAAGACACACCCTATAGATTAAAATTAGTAGCCACTATGTTTTCTTAACTATAATTACAAATTTTAATTGCGAATTAAATTATTGGATATATCTTGATATATATCATTTTAAATCTTATTTTTCGCTTGTTAATTTGGTACCTTATTCATTAATTTAGATTTAGTATTATGGCTACAAATACCATTTAAATCCAATGATAATGCGCTCGATTTTAATGCACTATTTGTAATGTTTCTACCAATATTGTGTAAATTTCAAAATGATATTTGTATTTAACATAACATTAACTAATAACTAATTATATCATTTTAAATCTTATTTTTCGCTTGTTAATTTGGTACCTTATTCATTAATTTAGATTTAGTATTATGGCTACAAATACCATTTAAATCCAATGATAATGCGCTCGATTTTAATGCACTATTTGTAATGTTTCTACCAATATTGTGTAAATTTCAAAATGATATTTGTATTTAACATAACATTAACTAATAACTAAGTTATAATACTTTATTTTGCAAAACACACTAAATATTAAACAAATTACAAGTTCCCTTTAAGTACAGTACATGGATAATGTTAATGCATGGGAATGTATAGATATGTTTCCTAGCTATAAGTTAAACCATACTTTTAATATACTCTATGTTGAAATAATTAGTGGCACACTATTTCTCAATTTAGACTAAAAATATTCAAATTTAACCATAACTTATTAACTGTGATACATTAACTGTATATTAATTATATTCTTCAAA